TGGGCTCCGTGTAATGTAGCAGGAAGAACACAGCGGAGTGCCAGCAGATCTGTCTGCGTCCCTCTCTGCTCCTAGTGACCTTGGGCTATTTATTTAAGCTGTGTGAGCATCTGCTTCCCAATCAGCAGTTGGAGATAATAATTCCCACTGAGATGGTTGGGAGCGTTAGAAGTGGAATATACGAGGCAAAGCGTGGGGCATGTGCCTACATTGCTTAGTATGGTGACTGGTTGGTAGCCAGTGGGTTTATTTACACCTAATCAGATTTCAAGACGGACTCAAAGAGCCTTAACTGCTTGTTTTCTGCCTGTTAGTCAGTAAATTGGAATAGTAAGAATTCTGTCATGTGCCCAACACTCATATTAATATTGTTTTAATTTCTACTTCTTAAAATTCTGTATCGTCTTCAATATTAATTATGGTATGTCCAAAGACTGTACTAATAGACAGTAAGTAGCAGTTACACTGAATCTGTTATTGTTCTAAGTACCATAGTAAGAGGTATCATCCTTATGACAACCCTGTTCTGTAGGTGCTATTATTATGGCTGACTATAAGATGGGGCATTTGCTGTCAGTTATTCAAAGATAAAGCCGGTAAGTAATAAAACGGGGGCCTAGAGTTGACCTTTGGTCTTCTTAGCCTGTGCTTTTAGCCACTACAATACCAATTCCATAAAGGAAATGATGGGATAACCTTCTAGGGCCTCAACAGTTGAAGAATGCCAAGTGCCATTGGTTTCCAACACTTGCAAAACTTGTAAATAAGGTGATGATATCTAGTATGACATAAAAAACCAAATGTAATTAAATATTATAATATTATAGGGTGACAATACTCCAGTCACTTCAAATCCCATAAATCAGCTTTCAAAGCTGCCCCCCAAAAGGAGTGACCAAGGTCTTTCAACAAAGGCAAAGTGTTTGAGACCTAGAAGTAAACGTCTACCCAGCCTGGTTGCGAAAGGGTCAGGCTCCACATGCCCATGCTGGGCGAGTGTTAGAGGGCACATTCAGCTGCAGCTGTGGATGGAAGCCCAGTCCAGCTGACAGTCTACATCTAGGGTACATGACCGTCAGAGCACATCACTACCCAAACTATTGGTATCCTAGATGCAAAAGAGGGTGCTAATGTTAGGATTGAATTATGAAATAGGCCAGTGAAGGAGGGTCAAATGGCTTCTGCTGAGATAAGAGGAGAAATGTGGAGGCTGAGACTCAGGCAGAAGAGATTGAAATACCCCAGTGAATGAAAAGGCGGGTGGCCTCTGCTCTGGTAAAAGGAACGAGGTGGCAGCTGTGACCCTGGAGGGGTTCTTAGGCTCATCAGGCTCCCTGTGTGACTTTCCCGTGTCAATTCATTGAATGTACATAACATCTGGACAGGCCATGTCACGGGACCAGGAAGACAATGTGGAGCCTGGTGCAGGACTTGTCATTAGAATGTCACCTTCATGGTTTTGACTACAGCTGTACTATTTAGAATATTATCTCTGCTATCAAGTGAACTAGATACTGTGACTAATTTTGCCATATATACATATGGTACACAGGTCAGTGCTCCTGTGACGCATTTGTGTCTATTGTCTGTATTTGAGTCCTTGTAAAGGAAACAGGTACAGTGACCTTGTACAGTATTTGGACATTTGTTTTGTATTTTCCCACAATCCACTGGAGAGCTCTTAGCCAGGTGTACCGCAGAACCAACACTTGCATTTTCTCTTCTGTTTATTCACCTGTGTCAACACTTCAGTGATGATTCATTCTTATTTTGGGGAAACTTTCTTACATTCTGGCCACAATTTTTTTTCAGAAGAGAATGATTCTGATCTGGTACTCTTTCAACTAAGGGGCAATAGGTCTGGCCTGGTAAACCATCACTGTTTTCTAGTGAGAATCAGTGGGGCCGGGGGCACCAAGGTCTTGTGGGGATGTGAAACTCTGCTCAAAGGTGGGTGTGGCAGCTCCAGCACAGCTTCTGTTTCCACAAAATGTTGGAATGGAACTGCTGTGACTCTGGTAAGGAGATGAGTGGAGTAGAATGAATGTTGATATTAAAAAGTTGATAAGGCATCCCTCTCTTCCTTGGGCTGTTACATTTAAGAATGCTTCCTGCCCATTTGTGTGTATTTGACATAAGAATACAATGAGACATTGGAAGAAGGAGAAAACAGGGAACAGGACAGGAGCCTACCACTGAGGGCCTCTGAAAGACTCTACCTAGCAGTGTATCAAGCAGAGGCTGAGACTCATAACTAAACTTTGGGCAGAGTGCAGGGAATCTTATGAAAGAAGGGGGAGATAGTAAGACCTAGAGAGGACAGGAGCTCCACAAGGAGAGCAACAGAAACAAAGTAGCTTGGCACAGGGGTCTTCTCTGAGACTGATACTCCAACCAAGAACCACTGCACAGATATAGCTCATGGCAGCTCAGTATCCAAGAGGGTTCCCTAGTAATGGTAACAGGAACTGTCTCTGACATGAACTGATTGATCTGCTCTTTGACCACTTTCTCCTGAGGGGGGAGCAGCCTTACCAGGCCACAGAGGAGGACAATGCAGCCAGTCCTTATGAGACCTGATAAGCTAGAGTCAGATGGAAGGGGAGGAGGACCTTCCATATCAGTGGACTTGGAGAGAGACATGGGAGGAGAAGAGGGAGGGAGGGTGAGATGGGCAGGGAATGAGGGAGGGGTCTACAGCTGGGATACAAAGGGAATAAACTGTAATTAATATTTAAAAAATAAAGATTTAATTAGAAAAATACAATGAGAGAAATCCAAACATACAGTTGAACCTATGTCCTAGCTTGCCCTCTGTTGCTATGATAAACCACTCTGGCCAAAACCAAAATTTGAGGAGGAAAGGGTTTATTTTCTCTTACAGCTCCCAGTCCATCACTGAGGGAAGCCAAGGCAGGTACACATGGCAAGAGACTAAAGCAGAAGCCACAGAGGAATCCTGTTTACTGGCTCACTCAGCTACCTTCATTATACAGCTCAGGTCCACCTGCTTAGGAATGGCATGTCCCACCATTTGTTCTCTGTATTGTCAATAAAACAACCAGTCAGTGCTGAGCAATGGAGAGAATAAGGTGGGTCATCCTGGTTTGGAGGGGAGGAGAAGGCAGTAAGTGTGTGCGTGGGGGCGGGGAAAGTAGGAGAGGAGAGGACTTGGAACCATGATGAGAGATGAACCCGACCTAAGACAGGACTAAAAACAAGTATAATGTGGGAAATTTGAATGGTAGGAAACTATGTGGGTTTGGAGGTTTAGGATGGAGTTTCTATTGCCCATCATTGTGCTCTAGGTTAATTAAATAAATCCTAGTCTCTGTGTGGTGATTTGGGTATACAGCTTGTTTAAGAATAACTGCTGCTTAACTAAAAGATAAATCAATAATAAATATTAACAATCAACAACAACAAAAAAAAAAGGAATGGTCTGTCCATAGTGGGCTGGGCTGTCGGGCATCAATTAGCAATCGCAATCAAGAAAAGCCCTCACAGACAAGGCATCAGGCCAATCTGACCCAGGCAGTTCCTCAGTTGAGGTTCTGTCTTCCCTGTGACTGGATTGTGTGAAGTTGACAGGTGAAGCTAATTATGGCCGCTCATTTACCACAGGTTTCTATAAACCCAATGAGTCTTGGCCTGGTTTCTGTTCATCATACTCTGCTTCTGTTTCTATATACACTGGGTACAGGTTGTGCTTAAAAGTGTGTGGGGTGTATGTTTTGCACATATGGGCTGTGCCAGCACACACTCACTTGAAGGCCAGAGGGAGGTGCTAGGCATCTTCTTGATCATTCTCTTCAATACTGCTTCACAGAGTCTCTATTTGAAGCTGATCATTTTGGCTAGGGTTGCCAGCTGGCAAGCTCCCAGGATCCACCTGTTTCCCTCCCTGCCCCCTCACCCCCAGTGTTGGAGTTACAGGCATCCACAGCCGTGTCTGTTTTTTTTGTTTGTTTGTTTGTTTTGTTTTGTTTTACGTGCTGGATATTTGAACTTGGGTCCTCTTACTTTCACAGCAATTGCTATCACCCACTGTAGCCATCTCCCCAGTTCTTTAAAAGGTACTTTTGTGGTGAGAACTTAAAAAGAGTTGGCATCGATCTTTCTCTGTGACTGCAAGTTTCCCCACAGACAGGTGGAAAGCTCCCCTCCTTATACTTTCTGAAAATTAGCCATGTACCCTGGGCATTCACAGAATTAGAGAATTTTAGAGCCAGGGCATATGGGGAAAGTACTGGAAATTGCCTACTTCATGTATTTGTCAGAAGTCCAGTTCCTAAGGGGAAAGTGTTTCTGTGTGAAGTGAGTTAGAGAAACCCTGCCTTTTTATAAACTTCCTCCCCTTGGATATTCAAAATGCAAAGTTAACTGTCACTCGGCTGGCCCCAAGGTTATTTAGTTGGTCCCAAGGTCATTTAGCTAGGGATTTCATTTTTCTTCCATGTGTGATCCTGCGTGTAAGAAAAGAACCTCGTGTCTTTGTGAAAGTCTAGAAAGCTAAACCCTTGTTGGAGGTAAAAGAAACAGGCACTTCTTGGCGGTTACCAGCCTTCCCAGGAAGGCTACAACCTAACAGTGAAATTTATTAAACGAATTGCTTCTAAAGTATGTAGGATCCTAGCCTAGAGATATTTATCTTCGAGCAAACAGGGAAATATGCCAATCAGGCCGTCCAATTGAGCATTACTGTATGCACAGACCGTCAGAAAATGCAACCTGAATAGCATGCTAAGAACAAAGTGCCGGCGAAGCTCTCAGCCCGGGGGCTCGGGAGGGAGAATGGAATGCACAATTACACAAGTAAATATGTAATTACAAATTACGATACTTGCGTGAAGACAAGAGTACTGTCAGATTAAGCTTAAATTTGCAATCACGTCTTAATTGTCCCAGCTTCAGAAGGGATCAATAGCAGGTGTTTTCATGTCTGTCTCGATGCCCAGCTTCGTTACGTTTTGAACCACCCTGTCCTTGTTTTCTTTTAGGCCCCGTGGAGCAAAATGAAAGCGCAGTGAGCCTGAAGCCTCTCCCCAGCCATCCCCCCCAACGCCCACCATGAACCACTTGGAGGGCTCCGCGGAGGTGGAGGTGCCCGACGAGGCGCCAGGAGGGGAGGTGAACGAGTCGGTGGAGGCCGACCTGGAGCACCCCGAGGTGGAGGAGGAGCAGCAGCAGCAGCCACCCCCGCAGCAGCAGCAGCCCGTAGGCCGCCGCCACGGTGCGGCCGAGGACCCCCGCGCGCAGCAGCAGCAGCAGGAGGAGGAGGAGCGCGGGGAGTGCCTGGCGCGCTCGGCCAGCACGGAGAGCGGCTTCCACAACCACACGGACACGGCCGAGGGCGACGTGCTCGCCGCGGCCCGCGACGGCTACGAGGCGGAGCGCGCGCAGGACGCCGAGGATGAGAGCGCCTACGCCGTGCAGTACCGGCCCGAGGCCGAGGAGTACACGGAGCAGGCGGAGGCCGAGCACGCCGAGGCCGCGCACCGGCCCCGCGCGCTGCCCAACCACCTGCACTTCCACTCGCTGGAGCACGAGGAGGCCATGAACGCGGCCTACTCGGGCTACGTCTACACGCACCGGCTCTTCCACCGCGGCGAGGACGAGCCCTACGCCGAGCCCTACGCCGACTATGGCGGCCTCCAGGAGCACGTGTACGAGGAGATCGGGGACGCGCCCGAGCTGGAGGGGCGCGACGGCCTGCGGCTGTACGAGCAGGAGCGCGACGAGGCGGCCGCCTACCGCCAGGAGGCCCTGGGCGCGCGGCTGCACCACTACGACGAGCGCTCCGACGGCGAGTCCGACAGCCCCGAGAAGGAGGCGGAGTTCGCGCCCTACCCGCGCATGGACAGTTATGAGCAGGAGGAGGACATCGACCAGATCGTGGCCGAGGTCAAGCAGAGCATGAGTTCGCAGAGTCTCGACAAGGCGGCCGAAGACATGCCAGAGGCGGAGCAGGACCTGGAGCGCGCCCCGACCCCGGGAGGGGGACAACACCCCGACAGCCCCGGACTGCCAGCACCCACAGGGCAGCAGAGGGTTGTGGGACCCCCAAGCGGCGGCGGAGGCGGCGAGGCCGGGCAGCGGTACAGCAAGGAGAAGAGAGATGCCATCTCACTGGCCATCAAGGACATCAAGGAGGCCATCGAGGAAGTGAAAACCAGGACCATCCGTTCGCCTTACACCCCCGACGAGCCCAAAGAGCCCATCTGGGTCATGCGCCAGGACATTAGCCCCACGAGGGACTGTGACGACCAAAGGCCGGTGGACGGAGATGTAAGTAGGTGTGGGTTCAGGCTAGCTGGACTTGTAGGGCCTGGGGAGGAGAAAAGATTGGAGCTCTGTGGCCTTGCCAGTCTTTGGGGAATTACTTTACAGGACAAATGGTCTATGGGGACGTTATGCACCAACCCATGGTGGTTTCATTCAGTGTGTCACCAGCAAGAGAGTGTTGAGAGTGGACCCCACTTATCAGACCCATAGGGCATCCCCATGCTTTCCAAATTGTACCCAGAGGTCTCGTTGAGAGTTACATTCTTGGGCGCGCGCCCGCTCCCACATGCCTCTCTTTGTGCTCATCGAGAAAAATCTGAGCCGGGGTCCCAGAATTCGTATCAAGTCTGCATTGAGTAAGAAGAGACTTGGGGCGGATGCTAGCAAATCGGCAGCTTGTAAGTACAAGATCTGCAAGGGCTCCTTGGAGGAAGGAGTAATCAGTGTGAAAAGGGTCAGGCGTGTGGAAACTGGATGGGATGGCGGCTTGGTACAGGCAGTTTTAGTTGGTGACCAGCCTGTTCTCAGGTGTTTATGGACACCTGGGGAAAGAGTAACTCCACCAACGTCGATCTGTTGGTATGTTTTGTTGTTGTTATTGTTCGTTTTGTTTTGTTTTTCGGATTAATCGCCATTCACACTTAAAAGACAAAGAATGTCAACCAACGCGGAGGGCCAGTGGCAAGCCGTGTCTCCAATAAACAGGGCATCTACCAGTCTTGGTAGGACAGAGGAAGGGGCTTCTTTGTAGTAGACTGTTCCATGGAACATCAAGAGTGGTTCTAAGATTTCTTAGTGGTTTTTGTTTTCTAGGATGGCAGGGGCCAAAATTTTCCCACCCAACAGTGCCCGTGTTATACCGTTGACCCCGAGGTACGGTTAGAGAACCATTGTCATAAAGCCGTATCTTAAAGATTTGGATGGTCACTGTTGGAAATCCCCCTGTCCTGCCAGGTGTTCTGCAGTGCCCCCGCCCCACTCCCAACACACACACACACACACACACACACACACACACACACACAGCGACTCCCTGTAACACTCCATAAGCTTTTGTCCTTGTCACAGAGGTGTGTTTTCCACTTAACACCAGACCTGCTTCACCGTGAAGAGCTACACACAAAGCTCTTGCTGCCTCTGATGACAACTTATTTGCCATTTTTAAAATACCTAAGACATGTGAGACCCTGTCAGGCTCAGGTGTCACAGTCTATTGAAAATGAAAAGTTAGGAGACTAACTTCTGCCCCTCTGCCCTGCTGTAAAATGCTTTTTGCTCTAACTCTCCCTTTTCTGTACTTTTCAGTACTTTTCTAAGCGTTTTCACGGCTTCAAGTTGGAGAAGGGTCAAGAGGTTAGATTCAGTTTCATTTGATATGGTCTGGGTGATGGCCTCCCCCATCAGCCATCCTCAGCTACATCAGCTCCTTGAAATGATCTGCTATCTGCTTGGTCTGAACAAGCATCCTTCTGAGCCCCGGGGACAGTGGTACGGACAGGAGAGTTTTAGTTTCTTTGAACCAGAAGGACACTTTAAGCCTTTGGTGTTATGCTTTATTCCAAACAAAATTCATTATAAAATACTGAATAATACTTAGGACCCTGTGCCATCACAAATTCATATTGATGTTAGGGTATCCATGAGTGGGGGTTACCGGAGTAAGAATACTTAAAAGAAAGCAAAGCCACAACCTGTGCCGAAAAATATGCCCCCATCATGCTTAAGCCATTTGGACCTGTGGGCCGTATTTCATCTGCCATGCTATATTTACAGGAAAGACCTTCATTTGCTCCCCCTTCGATGCTATTATTCTACCTCACCTCAGCATCAAAAAAGTATTTACTGAAATCTCACTCCACGCATGCTGTCATAGAAGATGGAAAGGTGCCGTTAAAACTACTGTAGACGTCTTGTTAAAAATGCAGATTACTCCCCTCTCTCCTAAAGCCCAGTGCCTGAGGCAGAGCCTACTGCTCTGTTTTTTTTGTTTCATAAATTCTCCCCGAGTCCTCAATTGTATAAGAGATTGAGACCCACCAATTCAAAGAGGGGGGCCCGTTTAGGGGCTGTGGACTTGAGGCTGTCTTCGGTAAAGAACTGTACCACTCTGATTATGGTCTTCAGGAGCAGAGGGCTCACAAATTCTTATTCCAAAGGCTCTGGGGTGTCTAAAAAAAATGGCAAAACCAGAAAGAGCAAAGGAACAGGTGGAAGCTGGAGACAGCCATGCTACCGACTGTTGGAGGTCATTGCTCTCAGTTAAGCTTGTTTCTGACATGCTGGCCTGTTCCCCTCTGAACCCCAACACGTTGCATGTAGAGCAAATAGGCATTTGTTTGCTGGTGCAGCAGACAGAATGAGAAGAGAGGATCAGTTATCCATGAGAACGTGTTCACCTTGTTGAAATGACTGATGCTCAGCACCGAGTGCAAACAATTACCTTCTGAAAATCTGAAGTGTGTGCTGTTGGTCTAGTAAGGACCTTCTATCCTCTAGTCATGTTTGAGAACTTCCAACACTATCCTTGAAAAATACTCATAGTGACTGATGGGTTCTGAAAAGTTCCCTGTTCACTGACCTCTCTCCAAGCAGCACAGTCATTCAGGGACAACCATTTTGACATCAGCCAACACAGTGCATGCTGGGAGATATGAGCTGTTCTGAATGGTGCTGCAGACTAATTGCTGCTCACTTCTGCTCTCTTCTAAAACTTCATTAAAATGATAGTAAGGAAATAAAAGGCAGGAAAGAAACAGCAGAAGCTGAGGATAATAAACTGTTGCTGAATTCTTTGGTAACACTGGACACTGGGCCATATTTCCAGTCTTCTTTGAGAGGCTTGCCTTTCCTCATTCCTGTAAACTCCAAGGAGGCAAGGCCTTGAAAGTGCATTACATCTAGGCAGGAGCAGCAGAAACCATTCTTCTTCCTCTAATTGCAGCAAACCCAGAAGGCACGTGTTAAGAGTGGTGTAACCCTGAGCACAGTAAGGATTGGCCTCCCCAGAGTGAGCAGGATTCCCTGGTGACGCCTATGAGATATTGAGGCAACTTGAGATGAGACAGGAGTTTGGGGGTGAATTGTTCACACTGCACAGCCTGGTTAGTGCTGAATAATTCACCAGAGAGGTTTCGCCTTCCTCCTTTCTACCAAGATTTCTGAGGATTTGAACTTAAACACCTCAGAAAGGCTCAGGAACTTGAAACCTCAATGCTTCAGGTAACAGGAATGTGAGGACGGTTGATAAAGGTCGGTCGGTCAACAGGCAGTCACAGGAGACATTCGACCTCTGGGTACCTCTAGTTTGTGCAGCCAACTGGTTTTGGTTTTTTTTTTTTTTTTCATGTAGATGTGGGGCTTCTGTAAGTAAGGGAAGGGTGAGGGGGCTCCCTAAACAAACACAAACCAAGAAAAAGAGGTGGGAGGGGCTCCACCACAGGAAATATAAGAAGGGAACCCCTTCAGGTGCATGAAGAAGAGCACTGGGATGGCACCTATGCAGAAAGCCAAGGAAGCAGAGAATCCAGAGCTTCTCAGACTCTGCTTAGGAGGCACCCAGAAAGAATAAAGCAGAGAGGCTCTAATGAGCCTGGGCTTGGAGCATGGGCTTGAGTTGGTGATGGTTTAGCATCTATTATAGACCAACCCCTGGAACACTAAGCAAATCGAAAGTAATTCTAACAATTCTAGCCTTGTTCAGTTATTGGCCTTTCTGAAAATAGTTACACAAGCCAGAAATGCAGTGCTGCATGCATGTGGCTAGGCTGCAAGACCAGAGGTGTAGCCTTCAGATGCAAATGCTGAACATTGATGAACTAGAAATGTGTGGTAGAAAGGACGTAGACTTTAGCCTAAATCTGAAAATAAAGGTGAAGCAATACAAACACATTACCCCTCTGGGCATAAAAGTAAATATGAAAGAAAGTTTCAGAAGAATTGAAAATGGGGTCATGAAGTGAGGAGCAGGTGTAAAAAGAATTTGAGTTTTGCCCTAAGCTCTGTAGTATTTGACTTTGAAAACTATATTTGTGGATTTATGCAGAGATGGTTCACTGAACAAAGAGATTATCTCATTGCCCTGTCTTCTTGAACATAAATAGAGAAGGGCAAATGCTTCTGTGTGTTTTGTGTTCAATTTATAGGACAGAAAGGACTTCCTTGCTGGCTGTTCACCTATGGCAAGATGAGTTTTATGCAGTGTTTGCATTAAGCATGAGACTTCTATTTGTCTGGCATTACAAACATAAGAATATGGAACTGCAGCAATTAGGTCAGGAGGAGGGCTCTGCTAACTATAGAATACTACTGGACAATAGAAAACCCCAAGTGCTCAGAAGCCACAGGCTTGCAAGTGTGTTTAGAGTCTGGAAGCCTCTCAACATTGGTGGGGAAGAAAATGGTAAGGATTCTAACTACGGTGGAATGATGCCTGCCCAGGTCAAGTGCAGTGTATTGATTTCTCCGGAGATGTAACTAATTATGTAAGTTCACAGCCATCGCTTTAAGGATGAAATGTTTCTGAGAGCTGCCTTTTATCAGGGTGAAGGCACCGCAGTTGCGGCATTTCCCAGCCCATCTTGCACCTTCACATCCACAGTAAAGTGTCATATCCCAGCAGGGAGTGGGGCTCCATGTAGCAAATCTCAGTTGTCAATAGCAACAGCAAAAAAAGGAGTCATTTTCCTGTGAACCATAAGGACCTGATGTGACCAGGGTAATTTTCTTTAAAGATGTAATAGTCTTAACTGTTACATCTTCAGAATGAAAAGACTTGACCTTAAACTCCCATTTGGAGAGCAAATGATTCATTTCAACCATGAAAAGAGCAGAAGGGGATGGAGAATGTTTGCTTTCTTTGTTCGCTTCTCCCAGACGCAAAGTGTTACCTTCAATTATCTTGCCGCATCTCTAGAATTGCACCTGTCTGTTCAATGCTGGGCAAACCCTGGTACCTGAAAGCTGTCTGCCTATTGGCATTAAACCATTGCCATGTCAGAATCACT